TTCAAGAGTTCAAGCCTATCTGCTGCTGCAAATAATTAGAACCCTAACACACAGGCATTATATTTCATTCCCTGATGTGAGCAGAGGTGGGGTGGCAAATGTGGTGTGTGACACCCCAATCTCCCAAAACCCTAATTTTCTCACTGGAAAATTATACCATTATGTGACGGGCAATCAAAATGTCCTAAACTTTCCATATATGAGCACAATAGTATTCCTGTCTACTTCTGCCTAACCAGTCCCACATTATGTTGACACAACAGCATATAAAATTGTACAAGAGAATAAATCCTCTGTACATCTTCTAAATATCTTTTTAACTATCTATCATACTCTTGTTCAACATTTTTCACAATACAAAAATAATAATGATCACAGTTTATAATGACTTGATACAGGTCTATTAGGCTCGTTAGCAGTTGTTTATCAGCTTATTACATACATGCTCAAATTGTAATATAACAAACCTAAGGGGAATAAGGATCAAAATTGAAGAAGCAAAGAGATCATTCTAGTATTAGCATTAGAGAAATTAACTTTACATCATGTAATATTAAAGTACTGTTATTAACATCAGAAGCCATGCAAATGTTATGAAGTCAGAAGAAAAGAAAATAACACCATAAGAATATAGGAGCAAGCACAGACTACTACCAATAAGGTATTAACAACATTCTTCTTAAACAACACAGGGTACTGGTAATTTAGTATAGGAATCAGTCAGCAATCAGCTGTCTGAGGGAATATTGTAAAAGTAATAAACTAATCTATATAAACAAGAAACTTTTCATTTACCATTAGTAAGAAGGTATGTGACTGATTATATAAATGATTACAGATTAAAATCAGCTAAAATCTAATGAAATAGTGAACAATTCTTTAATGTAAAATAAAAAAAATGCCAATATTTTGTCTCCATAGACAATACAAGGAAAGATCTTTTTGGTAGTCTAAGTAAAAAAAAAAAAAAAAAAAAAAAAAAAAGTCTTACCTGTTGGAGATCTGAAATTACATTTTGGCATTCATTTTTCTCTCCTGAGACTTCCACCAGCATTTCTGAGACACTGCGCAAGTGTTCTGTCAGTGTGTTCCTCTCCTGGTGAATGCTGGCCAGGCTGTTGCGCACCTCCTGAAGACCCGCCTGTTGACAAGGTTAAAATTACCTAAAGGATATGTTGTTAATGGAATCTGTATTAGTATTCTAGTTTTTGGCCTTCTTCATAATTTATCAGGGTAATCTTTATAAATATTATAATGTAGATTTTCAAATTTAATCAATGTCACTGTTACAGTATGGATCTTTTTAAATATTATGTTTTTAGCCTCGATTTCTGCAAAAGCATCCAGCCACCACATTACAAAGAAGGGCCATAGATGTGATTGGGCAGTAATTCTGATGACATGAAATATTTGATCTTAGTGAAATGGCACTTTTTAGCATGACATACATGCCATCTGTGAGATGGCTCTTCTCAGCATGACATGACATACATGCCACCTGTGAGATGATCCTTCTCAGCATGACATGACATACATGTCACCTGTGAGATGATCCTTCTCAGCACAACATGACATACATGTCACCTGTGAGATGATCCTTCTCAGCACGACATGACATACATGTCACCTGTGAGATGATCCTTCTCAGCATGACATGACATACATGTCACCTGTGAGATGATCCTTCTCAGCACAACATGACATACTTGTCACCTGTGAGAATGTCCTTCTCAGCATGACACGACATACATGCCACCTATGAAACTGCCCATCTCGGCATGACATGACATACATGCCACTTGTGAAATGGCACTTCTTTGCATGGCATGACATAAATGCAACCCAGAGGGAAACTGGGTTAACAAATCAAATTGCATCAGTGTCACGGTGGTCTTAAAATATATTACTAGAGGGATATGCATTAATGTTTATAATATGGATTAAAGTGAATCACCTGGAAGTGGTCATCCAAGCTGTTGATGGCTGAGGATAAGTCGTGCATACCCTTGGTCGTGATGGTCTCTCTACGTGTCTCTGTTGTTTTAATTTTCCTTTCTGAAAGATAATGTCATTTATCAGGATTCTGAGGTAAGCCACAGAAAGATTTCTTAAATCATAAAGCTCAATATATCTGTAGATAAAATATCCATCATTCTAAGTTTCACTGAATTATACATGACAACTATTTTAGTAAATGTGGTATAGAAAAATGGAAACTAACATTCTTATCCAAGTCAAGCACTGAAGGCTAACAAAAGACATATAATTACTTTTCCTTATTTGTCTTAAAAAAAAAAAAAAAAATCAAATTTTCCTATTCTTCTTTATACTCAAGAAAAGATTACATGAACCCGAATCAAGTAATATCATACAATCAAATAAAACTGAATCCTCTCTCACCAGTTGAAACCTTCTCTCCCTGACTTCTATCGACCCGACTTCTCTGCTGTGGCTGGGATGGTTGACCTGACCCATCTACTTTGCCTCTGCCATTTTCCCCTGCCTCATCACCAGTACCTGGCCCCGAGTCTGGGTCTTCACTGGACGACACCATGTCAAGTTTTCTAAAAGGAGAAATATAGTTAGACAAATGGTATAGTAAATGCTCATGAATGCTTAGAGGATACCTGCAATGACTTTTAAAATGGAACTACTTCTGGTAATTATAATAGCTGTGATCTATCTGTCAGGTCTATAAGGGATGGATGTCTTTAAAATATCTACTTGTAAAATACTTGTACTTTTACTGGGCATAATGTTGGACTGATAATTTAGGGAATGTAAATATAGTGATATATGAAATCAGTGATTAAAATAGAGGGATAAGAATAAGAGAACATACAGTATGGAAACAAAAAAATTATCTTTTTGTAATACCAACAAATAATTGTTTAATCTCTCTTTCCTTACTATTTTTTACACCATACAAATGCCATTATTGTACATATTATCATACTAACATGAATTTATCATATAAGTATGCTTTGTAATAAAGACTGTCGTTTCATTTATCTGGTTTTAAGCGTAATCTATCAAATCTAAATAAGGTAAATCATCCGTTTTAAATTGTTATGTACTCATTTTGCTGGTATTATATGATAACAGTAAATAAATGCCTTGTGTAAGTCCTTCAGATTATAAACATCAATATCAGGTTTTTCATAAACTTCTTCTTAGAACATCACCATTAACTAAACAGGTGTAAATTTCCCTTTCAACTGTCGAAAGTCGCTTTATCTTTCAAATGTTGACCAATGTTTGTTGACATCGGTGGTGTAGCGAGCGCTGGCCCATGATATATTACCTTTTGGCTTTGTCTTTCCCCTTTATTTCAAAATACGAAAAATATTCTACTAGAATATTTAATAAGTTTATTAATCTAAGTTACATGGTTGTACCACGGATTAATACGAAGTTCTATGGTATAGATTTTGGACTTAACATTTGAAATTTATTTAGCCCACTAGTTAAATTCACCATTATATATCTACATCTTAACTGCAGTAAATTTGAGAGTTCTACGTATCAAAATATACAGAATTTACTTATTATTGATACATGTGATAAATTATTATTGCGTGATGAAAAGACATACAATTACCAGAAAATACTTAAATATTTAAGCCACAGTGAAGATAACATGTAAACATATACAAATGAAGGTACGGTCGGGCTTTTTCATGGCTAGTGTATTTTATGTAGTTCATAATTCCTTTTTCATATTAAAATTTATGTAGAGGAAGTATATAGAGGTATGGATTTCCGCAAAAATTACCCATAATAATTATTTTAACTGCAATAATATGATGATAATAATGATAATCATGATGATAATGATTATAATGATAATAATCATAAAAATGATGACAGTAATATAATGATCATAATTTATAATGAAATAAAGGCCAGAAGTAATAAAATCACAAAAGTCGAAGAAACGGCAAAATCTAGCGTATTACAGCCTTTTGAAAGAAACGTCGAAAAAACCCTTTTCGCTTTTTAATGGCAATTATGAGGATTTTAACATTAATTCAGGTAATTATGATGAATTCCATGATTCCTTTATTATTGACAATATGATAACTATGATGATAATGACAATGATAATGACAATAATAATGATAATAATGATAGTCATAATTATAATGATAATCTTGATAATTACTGCAATAATAGCAATAATTAACTCTATTCCAATAATTTCCATACTAATAATAAATAGAAAGATAATAACATTATCATTGCCATTATAATTATTATTATTGTCATTATTATTTCTAAGATCATCATTATTGCTATTATCATTACATAAATAGTTAAAATGATATCCATAGTAATAATAATTAGCATAATAATATTATAAACTGCAATAATGATAATAATAATGATAATCATGATGATAATGAGTATAATGATAATAATCATAAAAATGATGACAGTATGATAATAATGATGATAATAAATATCATTCAGTCCATTTATAATGAAATAAAGGCCTAAAGTAATAAAATCCCAAAATTAAAAAAAACGGCAAAATCTAGCATATTACAGCCTTTTGAGAGAAACGTCGAAAAAAAACCTTTACGCTTTTAATGGTAATTATGAGGATTTTACCCATTAATTCAGGTAATTATGAGGATTTCTATGATGATACCTTTATTATTGACAAAATGATGATTATGACAATGATAATGATATTATTATTTCTATTGCCATTATTAGTATGGAATTTTTGGAATAGAGTTCATTATTGCTATTATTCCAGTATTTATCAAGATTATCATTATAATTATGGCTTTATCATTATTATCATTATTATTGTCATTATCATTGTCATTAACATCAAAATTATCATCATTATTGTCAATGATAAAGGAATCTTCAAGGAAATTACCATAATTACCTGAATTAATGTTAAAATTCTCATAATTACCATCAAAAAGCGAAAAGGTTATTTTTTCGACTTCTCTCAAAAGGCTGTAATACGCTAGATTTTGCCGTTTATTCGACTTTTGGGATTTTATACTTCTGGCCTTTATTTCATTATAAATATACTGTATGATAATTATTATCATCATTATTATCATTACTGTCATCATCTTTATGATTATTATCATTATAGTCATTATTATCATGATCTTAGAAATAATAATGACAATAATAATTATTATAATGACAATGATAATGATGTTATTATTATTTCTATTGCCCTTATTAGTATGGAAATTATTGGAATAGAGTTAAGTATTGCTATCATTGCAGTAATTATCAAGATTATCATTATAATTATGACTTTATCAGTATTATCATTATTATTGTCATTATCATTTTCATTATCACTGAAATTATCATCATTATTGTCAATAATAAAGGAATCATCATGGAAATCATCATAATTGCCTGAATTAATGTTAGAATCCTCATAATTATCATCAAAAAGCGAAAACGTTTTTTTTCGACGTTTCTCTCAAAAGGCTGTATTTTGCCGTTTTTTCGACTTTTGGGATTTATTACTTCTTTCCTTTATTTCATTATAAATGGACTGAATGATAGTTATTATCATCATTATTATCATTACTGTCATAATTTTTATGATTATCTTTATAGTCATTATCATCATGATTATCATTATTATTATCATCGTTATTGCAGTTGTAATGATTATTATGCTAATTATTTTTGCTATTTTTATCATTATAACTATTTATATAATGATAATAGCAATAATAATGATCTTAGAAAATAATAATGACATTATAATATTATAATGACAATGATATTGATGGTATTATTATTTCTATTGCCATTATTAGTATGGCAATTATTAGCATAGAGTTGATTATTGCTATTATTGCAGTAATTATCAAGATTACCTTATAATTATGACTTTATCATTATTATCATTATTATTGTTATTATAATTGACATTATCATTATAATTATCATTATCATATCATCATTATTGCAGTTATAATAATTATCATGCTAATTATTATTGCTATTTTTATCATTATAACTATTTATATAATGATAATAGCAAATATAATGATCTTAGAAATAATAATGACAATAAAAATAATTATAATGACAATGATAATGATGATATATTATTTCTATTGCCATTATTAGTATGGTAATTATTGGCATAGAGTTGATTATTGCTATTATTGCAGTAATTATGAAGATTATCCTTATAATTATGACTTTACCATTATTATCATTATTATTGTTATTATAAATGTCATTATCATCATAATTATCATTATTATCATCATCATTATTGCAGTTATAATGATTATTATGCTAATTATTATTGCTATTTTTATCGTCATAACAATTTATATAATGATAATAGCAATAATGATGACCTTAGAAATAATAATGGCAATACTTATAATTGTAATGACAATGATAATGATGTTATTATTATTTCTATTGCCATTATTAGTATGAAAATTATTGGTATAGTGTTAGTTATTGCTATTATTGCAGTAATTATCAAGAGTATCATCATAATTATGACTTTATCATTATTATCATTATTATTGTCTTTATCTTGTCATTTTCATCATAAATATCATTATTATTCTCAATAATAAAGGCATCATCATGTAAATCATCATAATTACCTGAATTAATGTTAAAATCCTCATAATTACCATTAAAAAGCGAAATGGCTTTTGTTTCGACGTTTCTCTCAAAAGGCTGTAATGCGCTAGATTTAGCCGTTTTTCTACTTTTGGGATTTTATTACTTCTGGTCTTTATTTCACTATAAATGGACTGAATAATAATTTGTATCATCATTATTATCAATATTGTCATCATTTTGTATGATTATTATCATTATAGTCATTATCATCATGATTATCATTATTATCATCATTATTGCAGTTATAATAATTATTAGGCTAATTATTATTGCTATCTTTATCATTATAACTATTTATATAATGATAATAGCAATAATGATGATCTTAGAAATAATAATATAATAATAATTATAATGACAATGATAATGATGTTATTATTTCAATTGCCATTATTAGTATGGACATTATTGGAATAGAGTTAATTATTGCTATTATTGCAGTAACTATCAAGATTTTCATTATAATTATGACTTTATCATTATCATTAATATTTCATTATCATTGTCATTATCATCATATTTATCATCCTTATTGTCAATAACAGAGAAATCATCATGGAATTCATCATAATTACCTGAATTAATGTTAAAATCCTCATAATTACCATTAAAAAGGGTTTTTTCGACGTTTCTCTCAAAAGGCTGTATAATACGCTAGATTTTGCCGTTTCTCGACTTGTGGGATTTTATTACTTTTGGCCTTTATTTCATTATAAATGTACTGAATGATGATTATTATTATCATTATCATTACTGTCATCATTTTTATGATTATTATCATTTAATCATTATCATCATGATTATCATTACTATTATCATTCATTGTTGCAGTTATGATAATGATTATGCTAATTATTATTGCTATTTTTATCATTATAATTATATATAATGATAATAGCAATAATATTGATCTTAGAAATAATAATGACAATGATAATAATTATAATGACAATGATAATGATGTTATTATTTCTATTGCCCTTATTAGTATGGAAATTATTGGAATAGAGTTAAGAATTGCTATTATTGCAGGAATTATCAAGATTATCATTATGATTATGACTTTATTATTATTATCATTATTATTGTCATTATCATTATTATCATCACAATTATCATTATTGTCAATAATAAAAGAATCATCATGGAAATCATCCTAATTACCTGAATTAATGTTAAAATCCTCGTAATTACCATTAAAAAGCGAAAAGGTTTTTTTTTCGACGTTTCTCTCAAAAGACTGTAATACCCTAGATTTTGCCTTTTTTCAACTTTTTGGGATTTTATTACTTCTGGCCTTTATTTCATTATAAATGGACTGAATGAATATGATCATTACTGTCATCATTTCTATGATTATTATCATTATAGTCATTATCATCATGATTACCATTATTATTATCATGATTATTGCAGTAATAATAATTATTATGCTAATTATTATTGCTATTTTTATCTATAAACTATTTATATAATGATAAAAGCAATAATGATGATCTTAGAAATAATAATGACACTAATGATAATTATAATGACAATATGATAATGATATTATTTTTTCTATTGCCATTATTAGTATGGAAATTATTGGAATAGCGTTAATTATTGCTATTATT